GCGAAATATTGCAAAAATGAGAAATATCCTGTCCAGATAAAGAGAGAGATCATATCTCTCCTATCATGGCTTCTCTTCATTGGCTTCCTGTTAAATCCAGAATATAATGTAAAATCCTCCTTCTTACATATAAAGCCTTAAATGGCCAAGCTTCATCTTATATCAGAGATATGATTGTTCCTTATGTTCCTAACAGAGCACTTCGCTCTCAATCTGCACATTTACTAGTGGTTCCTAGAATTTCTAAAAGTAATGGGAGGCTGATCTTCCTGGAGAGAAATATCAGCTGTGCTGCAGACATCAAAACCTTTTTTTATAGATGTTGGGGATCTGCCTGTTTCTCAGTGTAGTCCTGTTTCTCTGACTGTGAATGGCTGAATGTGCTCTCTTCATCCTCTGACATGGGAGCTGGCTTGGAGCTTGTCTTCCTGGCTGTGTGTTTCCTGGACGGGGCCACCCTTTTACAGTTGCCTTTTGCATCTCTGCTTCTTCCTGTATCTCTGCTTCTGTCTCCTTGAACCCCAGTCGGCCTCGGCAGATGGCCGCTCACACTGAGCCTGGTTCTGCTGGAGGTTTCTTCCTGTTAAAAGGAAGTTTTTCCTCTCCACTATTGCTACAAGCATGCTTAGTGTGAGTGATTGCCTTTGAGTCGATGAATCGACGCAATCAACTGGTTTTCCTTAGATAGAAAACTTTTAATCAATTTAACTGTATGATTTGGTGAACTGTAAAGTGCCTTGAGATGACATGTGTTGTGAATTGGCTGTATATAAATAAACTGAATTGAATGGATTTAATTTGCTAATCTTTCACCGTCTTTTCCTCTTCTAAATCTTCTTTTAAAGACTGTCATTATGTATCTGCACAAGCTGCTGTCCATTAGCTATGGATAGCTTCTTAAGGAGATCTGATTTGCATAAAATTCTTGCTCAACCTCTATGTGAAAGTGGGCCTTGTGCGATCTTGGCGATAAAAGTAATCAATATGCAGATATGAATTTCCAAAATATTTAGACAATCAAATTCATACGCTGACAATCTAAAAGCAGTCATAAACACAAAGCATCGCTCCACATTGCAAATCTCCCTAAGATTTAGTTACAGAATATATATCTAATATTTAAGCACTGACTGACACAAATGTCACAAAATGCAGTTACTTTAGTCATACATGGTATTCCAGACCATTGTGGGTGACTTGTTTTTTTTTTTTATTATTATTATCAGAAAAAAACATGTTTTTCATTTTAACTGTGTCATTATAATTTTTTTTATTTGAACCTAAAATTTAAAAAATGTAAGTCATCACACATAAAAGATAAGATCCTATACTGCTGTGAGGTGAGGCAGCCTAAACACACTGCGGGTCACATTACTTCCAATGATGTCACAGGAAATGCTTGAGAGCTGAGGGAAGGGAGTCTCATTTAGTTTACAAAATACCAAAGAAAGAGAATGCTGCAACTAGAGACAATGTGCAATGAGATGAGGATAAATTATTGTAAGTTTAACAGTTCACCTATCTTTTTTGTTGATAAATGAAATAGACCCTGCTTGTTCAATACATGTGTGAGCTTCATAGAAGACATACCCTCACACTTTCTCTCATTAAGAAATGTATTACTTGACAAGATTAGCTGAAGTTATAAATGTTTGATGAATCAAATAGAAAAATGTGCAAGGCCTCATTTGCACATCAACATCTTAACCTTCTTGATTTCTCTTCACAGTCTATTTTTTTTTTTTGCCATATACCAGAAAAAGCAAATATTCAATGCTTACTAAATGAAAAAAAATCAGGCGAATTAAAAAATAAAGACAAAAAATAAGCATATTTGCTGCAACCTGTTCTTATGCTGTATGATGTCACTTCATTTAAAAATTACTAATCAATTTCTGAACCTATTTTATGAAAGGACGCCATGTTCTTTCTGGTAGCTGCTGTTGTTAAACCAAAAACTCAGAGTTTCCATCCTTAGGCTAGATCAATTCAGAGTTAAGGATTTGAGTCTGAGTTTGTTGAACCTGCTTTATGAAACGGGGCTCTGGAGTTTAACCCCCTCAAGACTGTTGAAACAGCTACAGAATTCCAAAGGAAATCCAACATACTCTTACTCACCATAGTCAACAACATTGTGTCAACAATGGTCCATAGCAGGGGTAACCAATTAAAATTCTGTGGGGTCCGAAAAAAGAAAATCATCAACCAGTAAAGGTCCATAGACATTTTCTATTATAATCTGTTACTTTAAACGGAATTTAACACTGAAATAAAATGAGGTGTTTATGCATCCATGTTATACATTGAATTTTAAATAAAAAAATATTCAAACATTTTTTTTTCCTTTTTAAAAGTATTTTTTTAAGTATAGAGCAGCAATCTTTTAGTTGGTATATAGACAATTTCCTGATTCACTTTTTTAAGAAAAACCTGAACTGTTTTTTTTTTTTTTTTGTTCTTGTTGTTTTTCTGGCTTAATGAGAGCAGTGGGCTTTCTTTCACCACAGTTCTTCCAGCAGTCGAAACTTTCTCTGCTTTCTTTCTCATTGTTTTCTCCTTCTTTCCCATCGCCCGGATTGCCACAGGTTTGCCTGCTGTGTCTGAAAGTAGCTAGCAGCAGCAGCCCAGACTGACACAGCTCATTGGCTAATTTGTATCACGTAAAGCCTGGTCCCGGATGCTCCGGAGGGCTTTATCATTTTAACAGGAGAAGCAACGCAAGTGAATTTAGATGATGTTGTCGGACAACATGCAGTAAATCATAAATGTTTTAAATCAGGTTGGGTCTGGATTAGCCAGCAGGTGGGTCCGGATCCATACTGTGGTCCGCTAATCCATGACCTCTGGTCTATAGGAACCACTTTTCCTGGGACCTGAGATAATACACATACTTTAATACCAATCTGAAGAGGGTCCGGCAGAGACGTTACCACTTCAGCAACTCAAAGACTAAATATGGGAGCTGCTGGTCATGTAACTGTGTGGTCTGAGTCAGACGCAAAACAAAACAGTCCAGACAAAATCAAACAACTAGGGCTTAAGCGTTAGATCAAGAAAAGGCCAGCAGTTTTCCCTACAGAGACTTCACATCCTGGACACACACTTTTCTGACCAGTGGTCTTCAACTCAAATTCTTGAAGGCCGATGTGTTGCAACATTTAAATTTGTCCCCTACCCTATGCACTTGAATCAGATGGCTAAACCTCCTCAATAATATGCTGACAAGCTCTGCAGAGCTTTACTAATGAGCTCATATTGGAGTTGGGTGTGTTGAAGCAGACACAAGTATGAGCTGTGGAACAGCATCCTTAAGGACAAGAGTTTAGACCACTGGTTTATACATTTAACTTTAAGTTAAATGATCTGCAAATATATTTTTTTGACATAACAGATACAGTACACACAGAACAATTTCTGAAAGTTGGCTATAAAACCAGTTCAATTTTTTGGTCAAAGGAAATAGCATCTGTCCATTGGGTCAGGGTGTGAGGGGGTATTATCTGGACATGGCAGTCTACCTGGATGAGCTCATAGTTTGGCATTTTGCAGCTGAGTAGAACCAGAAGCAATATGCTGCCCAAAAATCCACTGAGCAGTGGGCTGAGGTCATAGTGAGATAGAGCTTGTGGAAACACTGATGCACAGGCTAACATGGCCAGTCCTTTAAAGTTTTCCCAGAGGAGCCCCTAAAAACAGGACAGTAAAATCTCACTGGGCGGTCTGACAAGAACAAAGCCGTCAGCAGCTTGTCTTCAGTTTGTGTTTAGAGATGACATAGAGATGAAATGTGGATTTTCGGAAATATATCCATATAAAAATATATCCTAACCTTAAAAATGGGCATCGTTGATCTTCCTCCTCATAATTTATGAAAGGCAAGTGGTCCAAAACAGGAGGACAGGAAGGGGTCTTTTAGTAAACTTTCTTTCTCCGGTCACTGCCTTGTTAAAGTTTTAGTATGCTTCCTGCTAAATGACATCATGACACGGCTCATTTAGATGATGTAATGGCTACCTTTAGGAAAGAAACAATTACATTTCATTACACACTTTCTTAGCAGCTATCTTTTTCAAATATTATACTGAAAAGTTTAATCTGTAAAGTTTATTTTATCATTTGAATAGGAATTGTTCTTTGTATTCATTTAATTGTTTTATTGGGACAGCGCATATTAGTGGAAAACATATAGATATAAACATGCCAGTTTTTAGCCAAAGGCTAGCTTCCATCCATTGTCCCAAGGGCAGGAGTTACAGGGGGTACTCCATTAGAAAACAGTAAAACTGAAAAACCTTAATATATTCAAAAAGGGTCACTTATATCACTTTTGCAACACAACAAACTTTACAGTTTGACAACAGTCAAATTAAAACACACACACAAAAATCTCACCCTATATTTCACAAGCAAGATTCAACAAGAAAAAATGTCATACAGGATAATGAAATGTGCAATACTGTTTTCTGTGTGAACTAATGTGTGGATATTTGATTCTGACAGAGCCATTCTTGCTGTTAGGCTTTATAAGACTATATGCTGGATGTTTTCTGCGTATGTGGAAGACTATTCCGTAGGTTTCCACTGTAAACAGACAGAACTGTTTGGCTGAAGGCCTGAGGGGAATGAAAGAAACCATCTTGTTGATATTGGTGTTATCCTGTTTGTATTATTAATAGTTTTAATGATTTTTTTTCAGCAGTGGAGGAACCAGGGATTTTAACAGATTGTAATTTGTTTTTAAATATAAGATAGCTTTTAAAAATCAGATTTATCATTGTAATACTCAACTGGAGGAAAGTGATGCCCTAATAAACTTGTTCCCTAAATTTCACTCATTAGAGTTTGATTTTCTTGAAATTTGACTTCAATTTATATAAAATGAATAAACACAATTTAACAAAATATTTCTAGGTTGTTTTAGGTGTTAGCTGAAGCTGCAAGAGTTCAGAGATTTGTATTCTTGACAGTGTATAATTGTCCTTTTGTCTGTATTGTTTTAGACTGAGGTGATGAAAGAGGCTCTACAGAATCTACATTTAAATGTTGTGGAAATGACTGATGAGAATGCAACACTGGATGGAGGTGATGTTCTATTTACAGGTAGGTTTCCCTGCAATCTGACCAATCATTTTAAGACTGTACATGGATTTTGATATAATGATCTAAAGATGGACTGTCTACACATGGCTTCTCACATGGTTACCCGAAATCAAAAAAGCAGTTAAAGGTATTCTTCTGTGTTTAACTCTTGCTATAGTGTAATCAAATAATGCTTTATTACAATTATTTGAAAAAAATTACCTGCAATGAAATACTAAAATGATACATCTGTCAATGAGGTGTAACAAGGGCCGATTAGCGTCTCACATCCACCTCCCAAATGAAATTATTAAGTTCAGGAGAAACATGTTTGAAATTCAGTCAGCCCTTGTGAGGTGATTGTGAGCAAATCCTGTTGTTGAAGCAGAGTTACAAGCCGATTTATCGGAACCTTGCGCACTGCGCATGTGCAAGCAAGGGAGCTCTTCTTCCTTCAGATTGATGAGTACGACCAGCATCATCTCTTGGCGCTGAGTCCAACATGTGGCTTTTGGATGTACAGTGTGAGCAGGTAGATTGCATCAGAGCATTGGGCTGTACAGTTTAAGAACATACATCGTGAGCAGCGACTTTTAAACCCTGTGGTTGCATCCTACAGTTTGAGCTGTAGCTGAGTACAACAATGGGAAATATCATACAGTGTATGCCCGGCTTTAGCTCAACTTAGAACCCATATATTGGGTGAATTTCGTAAAGGTTTCTGTTACATGGAGAATTTATTTTGAAGTTTTCATGACTTTTTTAAAATGTTTTTGTCAGTTTATGTCCAAGATAAACAGTGTTGTGCACTTAAATGCATTCATGTTATCTAATCTTTAATGAAATAAATTAATGTGTCAGAATTGCAGCCCTTTTTAAAACATGTTTAAATGGCTTTGTGTTAAGACAACAGATGAAAGTTTGAATTAATTGGTCATAGTTCAGTATGAATGTCATGTTTGTAAACGTTTATCTTGAAATGTGGTTAAAAAAGCTTTTAAATTCATTCGGAACAAAAGAAATATGTTCGATTCACTTTACAATATAAATCAAAGAGGCAGGTGAAACACTTTTTTTTAATGGAGGACCCCCATGGAGTCCCACAATGTCCTAGGAGGCCCCTCTCTTGGGAATGTCCTGAACAGGAAACCGCTTAAGGCTGGTTTATGCTCAGAAACCAGGTAGTTTGTCTGTGTGTCTCAGTTAACGCAGATATGCCTCTGCCCCTTCTACAGACACGAAATTGTAGTTGACTGCTGACAGTGCCACAGACAGAAGGCATCTGATTGGTCAAATCTACATCCGCTCTACACTATGCGTATTTCCTTTTTGGTACCTTTGGTACCGGCTTGCTTTGTTTGTATGAACGCCATTGTGGAAAAGGACTTGTAAAGATGGACCAGCTAGAAGAGCGAGGAGCACAAGAACGCTGGGACCCTTTTTCCACCTGGATATCCCCCCTTTTTCACTCTCATGTCCTTCCGTTGTCGCATAAATTTTAACCTTGTGTATTTCCACTTCCTCACTGTTTCGGCTGTATCTAGGCCCAGAGCTAGTTTGTGATTCTCCCTCTTGTGTTGTGGCATAGAATAACATAGTGCACACCCCGCTTCAAAATTGCGCATAAATCAAAAATATATTGGTCACACCCCCGACAAGCTCACCGCAACACACTGCTGTGGGTGTATAACCAGCCCTTAAGTCTGAAACACATGGTTTTCCTTGTCCAATGTTCTTGTACAGTCAATGTTCTTATTCCATTCAGTCACAAAACAGGTGTAAATTCGAAAGCAAGTGGACTTTCATATAAGTATGTTGCAACAAAAACCAAAAAATTGTTGAGATAAGTGAAATGGAGATGATATTTTAAACCGTATTACAGCAGACAAATCAGTGCATGTGTGTGTCATGCTTTTATCACAAGACAAAAGCTAAGGATGAACAGAGGGGGGGGGGATTCTGGATTCAGTTCCCAAGCATTTACTGTCTTAAAATTCATTTCAAGAAATTATATAAGCAGTTTCATCCAAGTACACCACTCACACCATACAAGAGACTCCAACAAGCCATGGAGAATATTGGGTTGATCATTCATCCAACTTTGAATGTGCCAAGGAGGCTGGGCCTCTATATACTCAAAACAACAGCATTCCAGCTACAGATGGCTCCATTGCAATCCACAACAATTATCAGAAAGAAGTCTGGATAAGTGGCCAAACCTTTTCAGAAAAATTGAGTGAAAGCCTGGTTGCCTTTTTGTGTCTCTCAGAGGTTACACAGGTAACTTATGTGGGACCTCTATGACCTGGTGCCCCTATACGCCCACCTGATATTGACCTGTTTTTACAGTTGTGTAGAACCCTTCAAATATCAAACATTATTAAAGCTGTTGAGTATGTTTGGCAGCAGCTAAAAATGCTAATGAACCTAGTGAAACACAGTAGTCTATCTTACACTCTGAACATTGTGTTACACTTGCATGGAGATTTAAAATGTAGGTCAGTGCCGTCTTGAGTATGCGCCAGATGGAAAAATATAGTACACCTAAGTGAATTTCTAGACATAGGCTGTGTTGTGTCTTTCTTTTCAGCTGAAATCGGTTTCACATGGCAGGGTAAGAAATATTTCCTGTTGGCGATACCCAGACTAATGGCTTATATTGTAGCAGCTCAACATCAACATAGGAACCCATCCCTGAGGTCAATGTACAGCTGCATCCCTGTCAGCTGACATATTTATATATACATATGTGTGTGTGTGTGTGCCAGCATGCCTACCCTGTTGTGTGAAATGCATATAGAATAGTAGTATTAAAACTGTTTGATTTGTTGATTTGATTTCTTCAGATTTTACTAATGTAAATTTTTATGTTTTCCATCTAGGTCGAGAATTCTTTGTTGGTCTTTCTAAACGAACTAATCAAAGAGGAGCTGAGATCCTAGCTGATGCATTTAAGGTACGTTACAGTAATGTCATCCATTAATTCATAATTAATATCTCTTATTCATTTGTAGAGTCAGCTGTGAATCACAAGGCCAGTATGAGGAATAAAAAGTCCAAGGCAACAGAGGCAAAAAAATCCAAAATACTGAGAAACAAAAATCCAAAAAGCGTCAGGGAGCAACAACACATGGGGAGCAAGCAATGAAGCAACATATCAACAAGAAACCAGCAATGAGGAACTGCAGAGGTGGTGTATATGTGGAGAACAGAACCAAGGATTGGCTAATGAGCTGATATGGAGTAGGTGTGAATAAAACTAACCAGAAGGAAGCTAAGGGGAAAGGAAAAAAGACACAAGGGGGCAACGGAGAGTAACTCAGGAAATACAAAACTGACAGAAAACAACTACAAAGTCACAGACTACATTCACACAGTAGCCTGAAGTGACCTGAATCTGATTTTATTTTGCCCATATGCAACCTGTATCTGATTTTTCATGGCTGTCTAACCAACACAGATCAGATTTTTGCCAGTGCGACCCAGGCCACTTGGCTATGTGGTCCTGGATCTTATATGAATCAGATTTTTTCAAATGTGACGTGTGATTGAACAGCCAGGTCACACTTATCCGACCTGAAAGTCATTAATACCCAACAAAGGTCTCTATTCTGGGTATTGAAAGGCAGAAGCGGCAATAAAAACAACAACCATGGCGGATGATAATGTGGAGAGTAGCATTTATGTTTAACCATCTTGAAAAGATGGTTGGGAAAGATCGCTAGATGAGCTCCAGCAAAATCCATGTTTACTTCCGTAAACACAGAGCATGCTTGCTTGTGATGTCATTGCGTTCTCTACTGCGCATGCAGGACACTTACGTTGTATGAATGCAGTTTACACAGGAGATCACATACAAGTCGCATATATTTGAAAATGTAAATGGTAACCCAAAAAAAAAATGGATTTCACAACAAAATCGGAATTGGCCTACAGTGTGAACATAGCCAAAGAAACTAAAAATAAGCTTAAAAAGAGGGCTTAACCCTGACAGTTTTTTCTTATACTCTTACAGTGGGGAGAATTGCTCTCTGTGTTAACCCCACCTTAGGGAGTAGTTTTCTAACACACTGAGAGGTGCCCAGAGAAAACTCTGAACCAGCAATTCGGCTCTCCAGCATACAGAAGCCCTGCTCGGTTAATGATACAATAAATCATCACTTGACTTTTTGACTTTGGTGCATGGCACATTAGAAAACACACACGTAACATGTTTAAGAGCTGTATGTAGCTCATTCTGTGTAGCTCTGTGCAGCTTATGACAGACAGATACTATTACTAATAGTCACCAAAAATTAGGTGGAAAACACCTTTGGAAAACAAAAACAACAGACAAAAACAACCTTTTTTACACCATGGACCGGTTAAATTTCAGACATTGTTTTCACGGACCGGCCTTTAAAGTGTTGGGGGGTAAATACGATCAAATAAAATGATACGACTGGCAAATACAAACATCATAAAATATAAACTCACCATTATGTTGAATTAGTGGGAGCCCTGAGCTTGCTTCGGAGAAACAAGCCAGTCCCATCTAGGTGTAATCATAGACAATGACACGAAGTGTGCTCCCAATGTCCAGTCTGCTCCATAGCTTTGTTTTGGTCGCTGTAACTGCAGAAAATCCAACTTCACAAAGATAGGATGTTATGCGTCTTGACCTGAATTAACCTGTGTCAAGAGGCACAGATGCACCGACTGATCTACTTGGGAGAGAATACCCCAATTTTGTATATTTCTCAAAATAAAACATCACTCAGACTCTGATCGTTGATAAATTATATATATATATATATATATATATATATATATATATATATTTTTTTTTTTTTTTTTTTTTTTTTTCTGTGTGGCCCAGTACCAAATGACGACGGACCGGTCGGTACCGGTTGGTACTGGTCCAAGGCCCGGTGGTTGGAGACCGCTGGAATAAGCATGCAGAAGCATGGGCCAAGACATCTGGCATAACCAATTCATTACCCACTTGGAGACCATTTTGAAAATGGTAAAAACTTATTGAATCCAAAGACTGTTTGAGGAAGAAGTCAGCAAATTAACATTTAAATGTTACGTTTGGCCCAATGCAGCTTTTATTCCTCACCCATGCTCTGTCAGGTTAGTTTGCCCCCATCCAAGTGACAAGATTATAGCCAGGGTTTAGATTGACGTGATTAAGACTAGGGTCACCATTAATCAACCCTCTCATTCAGAACATAACTTACATATTTCTGATCTCAATATTCCAATTTGCTTGTTTACAGAATATTTTTAATTGCAAACAGCCTTTTATTCAGAATACTTCATGTCCATGTAAACATAAAAGGAGCCCATATACTTCCTTTGTCCTGTGTAGCACACAGGAAGGTGCATAGATAGAATCATAGCTTTGTGTGCATTGAATCTATTTATTAAATACGTTTCTAGTTGTACATCAAAAAGAAGTATCCAAGAGAGGTAAGACAGTGTTAGCATTTTTGTCAAGCCAACAATGTATTGCTTGTTTAAAAATAGGGGTTTGTTTATTTTCTTCACTATTTATGAAATATAAGAATGATAAAATCATTGACAAAAATTGGATGAGACAAACTTGAAATAGTAAAGTCTGTATTTTCAGTAGCGTGGCTTTGTGTGTGGAAGTTTGTTTTCCTTTCTTTCCCCCCTGATGTTATTGATTGACGCAGCAGTAAAGAGATCCTTTGGTAATTAGAATTTAGTGCCTTGGAGGTGGTCTTAGCTGACTTTGAAGCATTTTTTCTCAGCATTTGATGCAAACCTTTGCCAGCGCACTGCCTTTGTGATTAATCGAAAAGTGGATTACAAATATTTAAAAAAACTGATGTGAGGAAGCGAACCTGGGATTAATTAGTTCATGGAAAATTTCCTCCTGTGTCATTCGTGATGCTATAAATCATCCCGTTAACTCCTGGCTTCTGTGCACAGATAATGGCTATGGTTGCCACTTACAGTAAGCAGATGCTATATAATGATACTGATGAGTATTACTTTTGATTTAAATCTATGAATTGGGTTTAAATGATCCCATGAAATTATACCTTTGTAAAAAGAAAAAAGAGTCTATGAGTTTATACTTTAAAATGCTCACATACCTAAGTATTTTAAGGTAATAATTATTGAAGAGCCAGGGGACACAGACTATACATTTGTGTTGTCCCTTTATAATTATTAAAATACTGAGTTTAACACCCCTCCTTTTTGAAACATATTTAATGAAGAAAATGCAGATCTTTCCAAAATAACACTCATATTTTATATACATCATATGAATTGTGATTCTCTGAAAACATGTTGTATTTCTTCACATTGCACACATTTGAAATGTAATTTTAGATGTGACATGTAAAGACAAGAAACTGTTTTGGTGAGGGATTTTTATCTGTATAATATTTGACGGACATCAATAAATGGAAAAACAGCAAATATATTTATGCAAACGTTATGTGCAAATAGAACTATATAAAACATAAATACTTTGAGTTGAAATTGTTGTAAGAAATCTACAGAACAATTTGATGTCCAAGAGACCAAGTCTTTCCTATAACAATAATGCTGTATACTTTATTACTTATTTGAAGAAACTTGAGAGACAAAGATATGACCATTTAGTTATGTTGTGGTGCACAAACCTTTCTAAATAAGCCAGATTCCCCTGAATACTTTGGAAGGCTTTACAGTACAGTAGCTGCACAGTGCTTGATGTAAAGAACGCAATTATGTTAACAGTATGCAAATGTTTTAATCTTTTTTGAAGGAGAGACAGGACTACAATAAAAAAGCATTTAAAGTTCAGTTAAAAGGATTTTTGCTTACGGTAATTTCTTCACACACTGATACACCATTGGAAAGAAATAAAAAACAAAAGTGTAGATCTTCTCGAAACGCTTTGTTCCAAATATTATAGACCATTGAGTAAGCTGTGAATTAGTAGTGGTGTGGATCCATTTATTGTTAAATGTATTTTGTCCATCAGAGCCTAATGCAACGTTCATACTGCACATGATTGAAGCAGCTGAAGCAGCAGGTTTTCATGCAAAGTCAATGGTTGACAGCATCAAGGCGAATCAAAAGGTCCTGCAGCGCGTCTCAAGCAGCAGGAGCAGTGCATCTTGACGTATCTGAGCAGCTGAAGCTGCAACTCATGAGCATCTGAGGCGTGTGACACGCTTCACAAGCAGCAGCTGCTGGAGTTGGAAAAATTTAACTTTTGCTGCTCGATGTGCCACATCAACCAATTAGAGAAACTGATCTGGGAGTTGGCAGGAAGACAGACACAGTGCTGCTGATGCAGAGAACTATGATAACTCCCCTGAAACAGTTTATTAACACTTAAATTAACTTAAAATGTCAAAACTGCATAATTATAATAAAGCAATCTATATGCATGAAACAAGTGGAGCAATATGGCAATTGCCATACTGCTACACTTGTGAAAGTAAAATCTGTTGGGCTCTTTTTGGTATCAAGACAATTATTCTTATTGCCACATTGCCAGACAGGACACTGTAAAAAAAAAAAAAAAAAGAATGTCAAAACCTGCCATCAAAATATGTTCGATTTTATTATTCTGGTGCCTGCAGTTTGTACCACATACCTGAGAAACACCAACATCTACTTCCAGCCGCAATGAACAGTTGATAGCACATCGACGGTATGTGGGGATCTGAGCAGCAGCAACAGCAAAACAATATTTTAAGGCAGAGCCTGACGAACTGACTGTACAGAGGATGTTATAAGATGGCTTAAAAACATATTAAAACTACTTTTTACCAGCTTTTCACAGCGAATATAGCAAAGCCATTTTCTGCCATTGAACACAGAAGCAGCACAGATTCATCTGTAAAGTGTGTACAGATGAATCTGTATACACTTTACTGGAGACTGTTCAGGAGCATCAAGGGTGCTCTTGACGCACGTTTGACCTTAATGTGTACAAGCATCAAAAATGAAGCAGCAGGCACTTTTATGCCAACCAAAATGCGTTTGTTGTGAAGGTAGCATTAGTCACTTTAAAATACCAACTTTTTAGGTGTATTTGAAACGGCAAAGCTTCTAATTTCATAGAAAATTGTGTTATTTACTTTCATTACTCCTTATTATGTTTTGTCTTAGCCTTATAGCTTAGTGTCTGCTCTGAATAATATTCATTTGTTATAATTACAGGCCAACCAAAACCTGCATCCAGACGTTTTTAAAATACCATGACTATAGCAGCAAGATTTGTTGCCACCTTCAAAGAAAGTCAGAGTGTGACACTGGCTGATTTTCTAAATCCAGTTTGCTGCTGGTATAAATTAAAGACATTTCACTCTGTGATCCATGGTTCATCACAGTTGGCCTGACTCTGAGAAGCCGTGGCAAAGCTAAGAAGGCTGCTAACATGCAGATTCAGTGCTGGGTCATAAAGTCAAGAGTTCAGAACATTACGGTAACTTGAAATGCCTTATTCTACTGTTTCCCTCGTTCTACATCTGCATCTGATTTGAGTTCCTCATTTTGGATTCCTCTGTGTTTTCTATTATCTTTGATAAGATGGGACTAAATGATGCGTTCCTGGCAAATGATAAAAGCAGAAATCATTTAGCCATCAATTATTGCTTCTTCCATTTTTTTATCAGATTGCTCCATCCTATAACTGTTGGTTTTTCCTTTAATTATCTAATGATGGATCATTCCGTTTCCAGGTTTGTTTAGTGCTTCACAACTGCATGCAGATGTGAGGGCTCTTTGCTTTACGGTTCTTACAGATGTTGAGATTAGGGTGTTACCCATGGAATACATTTCTTTGGGATATAGTGCAGAAGTTAAATTATATAATTTTTTTCTTGTTACAGTGCGATATTTTTGATGCCTGCTTTGATATATCCTATAAGGGACTGTCCGCTTTCTTTCTGCCATAATAGCAAATAGAGACTTTTTGTTACGTAAAAAATCTGTTTGTGAGTTCAGATAAACAGTTTCCACCTCTTTGTACCCGTTATCTTGATAAGACAGAAAGAATAGCTTGTATTTCTAATTTCACACACAAACTTCCTGTTTGTAGATAGGGAATGGAGAAAGAACATCCTGTGATTTCCAGTGGTTCCCAGTGGAACTCATAAGCACATACCAAGAAACAGTGTTGAGGAAAATGTCATAAATGGACCCATTTAGATTTTTCTGCTTGGTGAACTACAAAGTACAGCCCTGCTGCTCATTTTTTAGCGACAAAGAGAGACATTGTGCCTAATTTGACCCAACAGTGTGCTACAATTAGCTACCTGATAAGAATTTAACAGGCAGCTTGAGGAAAATTTCACAATGGAGTTTAATAGAAAGCTTAACAAGATATGTTGCTTCTTGTTTGTATCCATCAATTTTAAATCAACTTATTCAAAGAACAAAGTGTGTCCAGGAAGGTACGTCTACACTGTATTTATTTTGAACAAAAACATTTACAAATGATCTAAAAAGGGAGATGTTTAACATATTCCACAAGAGTATGTTTAATGTTGAAAAAATATCACCATCTTGGTATGTCAGGATGATAAACTCAATGTTTGAAAAATGTGGTCATTTTCTAATTGCATGTGATTATTTAATTCTTGGATAATAGTTTTTAACTGGAGTTAAGCCAAGATTAATTGCTGAAGGCTAATGATAAAGTTTACTCTGTAGGTCTTTTCATGATTAAGTTTAATTTAATTTATCCTGATATTAATGGCATACATAAATCTGTTGTGCCTCGCACAAAATATAGAAAAAATATACATTTATGTCGGTAGAAGTAAATAACTTACATAATCTAACCCCTGTTTCTTTTAATAAAAAAAGGCTGCTTAGTTAATTTCTTCTTTACTTAAAGAGTGACCATTCATTTTATCTTTCAATTATGCAAGGCAGCTAAAGACAATCAGTTTTGTGTAACTTTTGTCTTTCTAACAGTAGTAATGAGAGCACTTGGCAAGCAAACTTCCTGCAGTAAGAGAAAGTGGCTCAAATCAGGCTTTTATAAGTTCCTGTGTAATTTTCCCATGAGCTCCGGGCTTAGTGACATCATCTGTTAGACACTTCTGCTGTTTCCACCCAAAATGTTGTCACTTTTTTAAAAAAGTATGTCCTCTCTTGATCTTGTTGTGTGTTATTGTAATTCTTTTTTTTCTCATTGTTCTTCTCTTCATATTATTATTATTATCTGGTATTAATATTATTATGTTTTATTTGATCATTAATACAAAGGAATACATTTTCAGCCGAGGAAAAACTTATTGGACCACTCTTATATTTCTTGTTCTAATGGGACATCACCTGAGGAATCTAATGTACATGATAGAAAAACAAGGGTGGTCTAATGATCTTTTCCATTGCTGTATTTTCACCTTTTTCATAGCATTGATTGTGCATGCATACAATTCCTACCTTTTAAAGTTATTATTTTATGTAAAATTTCAGATGTTACCTAACCTCTTTCAGTTCAATGTTACTCTATTACGGGTTTCCCCAGCTCCGACCCTCAAGGCCAGGGGTCTTGTACGTTTAAAATGCGTCTCTGCTTAAACACCTGAATTAAATTAGCTGAATTTTCTTCTCAACCTGCAGTGAAGTTCAGGTGTGTTAAAGTAGAGCAGCCTCATAAAGGTGCAAGACACCGACCCTTGAGGACTATAACTGAGGAAACTTTCTTTATTAAAGTACATGTTTGGAGAAATTTGACAATTTCCTATTATGTATATATTTGACCATAACTGGTCAAATGTTTGATCCCTGAATGACCAAGTTTTGCTGAAAAGTTTTTTCCACCTACATGTATCAGTGGTTCTCCTATTTTTCAGCTTTTGTACTTGGGTTGTGCTTCACAGGACTATGCTGTTTCCACTGTGCCTGTGCTGGAGGGGCTACACCTGAAAAGCTTCTGCAGCATGGGAGGACCAGGACTTATCATCATCGGCTCCAGCGAACCAGCTCAGAAAGCGCTTAAAGTAGGCAGCTTATGCTAAAATGCATTTCTTTACTCTTTATTTATTTTCAAATGCTTGTTATGTACACTTTAGTCTCTTAGCATTAATTTGTATTCTTTCTTAAATTTCATGGATTACCTCTGAAACTTGCTCTCCAGCTTTAATTACAAAGTTGTTTTTCCCCCTTATTTCACAGCTTAAGCTCATTACTGCATGAAGGGCATCTGAATGAAAATTAAATGGATGTTGGGAGTTCAGAGAAGACAGCTTATACATAGCCTAGCAGAGATTGGGGGTTTACACCAAGAAGATAATACATTTCAGCACTTCCCAGCTTGTGAAATTCTGAACCATCTGTGTGTGAAGTGAAGTCCTGCCCATCCCCAAGCTCTGTGCCCGATCTTACACACTTATTCTATAGGTCCAAAACCATAAGGCAAATCATACAGCATTGGCTTTATTGTCCTCTAGTTAGAGGTATTCTCCATCCTTGCCAGATATGCAATATGATGATGTAAAGTATTAATTTTGGGCATCTCTGCATCTCTGCAAACATGTACACAAGAAGAATATATGAATAAGCACATAAGCCAATTAAATGTATTTTCCAGCTCCAACTCATTAAGACTCCTTGCTGTTTGATCGACCACAGTAATTAGCTGCTGGAGTGAAGTGTGGCCTTTTGCGATGCTTAATGGCAGAGGGCTTATTTGCTAAGTATGGCTTACATCACCTTCTCCTGGAGCTATTAATTTCTGTTTTAAAGGGGTTTTAACAACTCGGCATCTGCTGCTCAGTAATGTTGCCTATGGGCAGAGAGAGATCAGGGATACGTTAATGAATTCAAACTGCTTGTTTAGTACGTTGATGCTCGTCTTATGAAAGTAGAGATCCTCCCCCTCTCCTGCATGAGAGGAAGATGTAGCTTAACTGATTCCTTGAACTTTTTAAAGTGGGACTTGTATAGTAATAAAATGTTATGATAGTTTTTCATGAAAATTTTTTTTATTTACTATCGCTTTGAGTGACAGACCTATTCAGTAGTACATTTTGTGAAGTGAACATTTTTTGAAGTATTTTTTTTTTTCTCAAAATGTGTATCCCCCACATTCCCCGCAACTTCTTTGACCTATGCCAAACACAGCAACTATGTAGTTATCTTAATAAATGAGAGCTGCTCCACATCCTCCTGGACTCCCTCAAACGCCACCGTTGACATACATTTCCTCCATCCTTCATGCTCAAAATATGGAGCAAGTCCATGTTTTAATCCGATCTGGTCCACTGGAATCCGGCCAGGTCAAGCTCCACAACTCCAATCGGATCAGACAGAAAAACAAAGGTTGTTATCCATTTTGTCAAAGTAAATTAGGGTAACTACAAAAAAAAAAAAAAAAATCCTTTTTTCATATTCCCAAAAAAGATGACGATTTTATTTTTCATTTCATACAAACCACTGATACTTAAATTTACAAGGAAACTGATTTTTTTTTATCTCACTGGAAATATTTTTGTTATTCTAAATTTTTTGAAATCTTGACAAATTTTTGACGAGTCCAGTCACAACCAAGAGCGTATCTCTTCTTATTGCAGAGCAGAGAAGTTACTGATAATGTGGAATTTTGGGGTATTAATTATAGATCTTAGAAGAGGGAAATGGATTCTGCCCTCTTAAGGAAGTACTTAGATGGGAAATGGTAAAAAAAAGGGGCCTCTGAGTCACCTTTTTTTCCCCCTAATTCTTTGTTACAACTAGAGTATATTAATCTCAGTGTTCCCCACCACTAGTTAGAACTGAAGAAGCCTCGTGGATGAGAGGCGAAATGTCTTCTAGAAAACTTCATGCCCAGTTGCCTAGACTTATCTTTTTCAAGTTTGTACATATTCTTTTTCAATCAGGCCAAAGTTGCTATATTCCTTACATCGTTATATGACTTAGGAACCTTTAGATGCAGCCTCTTATAGCATACTTCTTGCAGTTTTTTCATAAAGACTAGATTTATTATATTTAAGATTTGAAGGGTTTGAGCTGTAAATTAAATACCCTTACCATAAAACAATGCTTACCTTACAGAATTATTTCGCATTATAATACTACTCACTTCAAGGATACTCTAACAATTATATGGAGCGATAATCTTTTAGAATTACTTTAATCCACACGTTTGACAACAAATCAACAGAGTACAGGCTTACTTATGGCCTTGATATACTGTAGGCTAAACCTAAATGCAATGTGGGATGTTGCTGCTGTATTTCTTTTCTTTGTTCTGTTATGCAGAGGCGACCCACAGTGAAGCTGGATGTGATTCACAGGGAAGGCCAGCAGCAACACACTTTTGTCTTTCCTCAGTTATTTAATCCAGTTATGTTCCCAATCAACCCATTGGACCTTCACAGAATGCTTATTAATGATTAGGTGTAACTACATGCAGTTGTTTCACTTTACAAAGTAAATCATTACTCATCATTTTAACAGTTTCAGAGAAAGGAGGTCTAAAAACATTTTATCAAATAAATTATCCAGTCAAAATAAAATCCCTGGAAACCTGTTGGACTTATATGTCAAGCTAAATCATCTTTTTGCAGCATTTAACTATGTTACGATGCGATTCATTTTTTAAAAACCATTCACAAAGTGGTATTTCACTCTATTCATGCATCTCTGAGTGAGTCTCATGAGTTTTGCATTTGCAGCAGCAGCATCTGTCCTGTGAAAAGGAGGTGGTTGGAGAATATCTGCGTAAGAATTCCCTCTTCTTGGATCAGCTACTTTAACCACCCTGTTCCCGCACTGTAAACAAACACCCTCTCTTTCCAAACAGGAAGGGGTAATGTGAAGCAGAGCACAGTGATTTGTTTCAAATTGAAGACAAAGTGGCTTTATTTATTTATATATAGCTAGACTGCACAGGGCAGAATTTCCCTCTTTAACTAATTGAAAGTTATAAGTATCTCTTTTTTGAGCTCGATAGGTCTGGGACTTATTTAATTCTTTAGAAGTGGTGTGACACTGCAACATCATAAAATAGGCGACACCCAGTTTCACTTCGAAGTGTGGACGAAAACAACCATATTTCATAACAGGCTAGACTGCAGTTGGGAGAAAGGAACAGCCGAGGCCTGAACCTGCAGTGATGACCAGCTGCGGCCTGTACCATTCCAAAAGGTCAGACATGGCTAACAGCTGCCCAGACGGTTGGAGTAAGATCATGATGTGTTTCCAATAAGGCTGAATGGCAGAAACAAGTAGAGTAACAAACTTCTGGGAACACTTACAAGCAGGGTGATTAGCTTACATTCTGGCAGCAAGTGGAGAGTGAGGCAGGTGTATACGGTAAAGGAAGTGAAACAGATTAACAGATAGTTATTATGGTGTTAACTGGTCGCTGGGAAATGACAAAAGGAAATGCACCATGGAGTGGAGGTAATAAGTCCAAAACGAAAATAAGAACAAAAACCGAATCATGAAATTTTTAATCAAAATTATTCAGAGCAAGGATGGAAAGCCCAAAAATCCTCTAAAAGTTTTTTTTTTTTTGGTATACTTTTGATAGAGCAACAGTTTATGTAGCTTTATGTTTAAATAAGCCCTTTTATGTTTTTTTTTTTATGCGGGCCTGTATAACAAGGCTCAGGACTGTAGATGTGTTTTAAATACTCCCAGGAATAGGAGTGCATGGGAGTGATTGGACCGATTTCATCATCCATCTGCAGCTGTCAATTCCCAGCTTCACCCAGAAAGTCATCATCCCATAATACAGCCTCTGTCACAGGCCTCAGCACCCACTCCCTGTAATCACACATGCATACTAACCACACCCTGCAGCAAACTGCTGTGCAGATTTGACATCATCATCACCACTTCCACTGGCCCAGCTTGATTTATGAGGTCATTGCTTCCCACTGGTCAGGACCTGATCTCCACCTCATGGATGCAAACGTGCCTTAGTTTCAAAGATGATGAGGTGACCATACAGTGAAGGTCAAATTGAGATAATACCGTAAATGTTCCATATTTTATCAAAGAGTTAGTTGTTTTTTTTTTACCTTACTGTTTGGATTAAATATTTTGGATAAAATATTTTTATAATTTATATTAATTAAATTTTTTAATAGTTTTATATATTTACTTTAGCCAATAAATAAAGAAAAAAATTAGCTTTTAAGCGACAGAATTAACCATCTTCGGTAGTATGTCCAAATATATGTTGGTAGTCGTGGTCCCCTCGATGAACCGTAGCTCCCCACAGCTCCTAGCTCAAAATCACGACACCCCACCACCCTGCCTAACTATTGACAAGACACACTTGTCTGTGGTACTTCTAAACTGGTTGCTACCTAAGAAACTACACTCTATCTGAACCAAATTATTTTATCTAGGTCCCACCAGATGGCTGGACATGATTTTGGAAATGCATATCATTAGTGTTCTTGTGTTTAGCAAATGATTCGCAGGCCTTCTTGAGCATTATTTTTAAAAGACGCATTCTTATGGGATGACAACCATGCAGAGCATTTGATTCCGTGTGCTGCTTTCTGTCTGAGCACCGACAGCTGGATGGCTGCTCAGTGGTGCAGTGGGTAGCAGTGCTGCCTTGCAGCAAGGTCAAGAGCTATTGGCAAATTAAGTTTGTATAATAAATATTAAAGTCAATTCATCTACAAGAAAGCAGATATCAACATTTAACATGCTATAAGAAAGATTGCATTATGTCTTTCAAGATGGGATGTTTGCTGCATGGTGATGTATTGGGTAGAACTGTTGCCTTGTGGCAAGAGGGTTCTGGGTCAAATCCTGGCCTGGGGTTTTCTTTTTGGCATGTTCTCCCTGAGCATGCGTTGGTTCTCTCTGGGTACTCTGACTTCCTCCCACAGTCCAAAAACATGACTGTTAGGTTAATTGGCTCTCTAAATTCTCATTAGGTGTGAGTGTGTGAGTGAATGGTTGTTTGTCTCTGTGTTGTCCTGCGATGGACTGGCGACCTGTCCAGGGTGTACCCCGCCTCTCGCCTGTAGACACTGTGAGATAGGCACCAGAGCCCCTCGCGACCATACTTGGGATTAAGCGTGTCAGAAGATGGATGGATGTCTCTGGATGTTACTCTGAGCATGTGCACTTAAATTCTTCTGTTGCTGCAGCTCAGTTTCACAGGTTTTTGGCAATTTTCTTATAGGCTAGGCTGTCTTAATTAGAGCTACAACTTTGACAGATATCAGATGTCTCTTGGCCATAAGGTTCACACCTTAAACCCTGTAACCTTAAACTGGATCACATGACACTGAGGAAGGATTAGGGCTAATTGGACAAATAATAGATAATTGGGCAAATTTTCTACATTTCTCCTACAGACAGTAAATATAGGCTGGATACTGAATTCAGTATGATAGTTTCATTGGGTTTTACGATATAGATATAATAAAATGTTTACAAAACATGAGGAATGGACTCATCTTTCTGTTCTACTCTGTTTCACTGAAGTATATGTCAGAAAATAAACAAAGAAATATTTTTTGTTGATAAACAATGTCATTTTCACATATTTTTACAGCTTTTGCAGAATTTACCTTACACGTGTTGCTGTTGCTGAGTGAAAAGGAGAATAATAAAACTTTTAAAGGCATGGTGGGAAATTTTATAAATATTCATATCAAAGGTCAAAATGCAAATTATGCTGATGAACAGCGTGGAGGGCATCAAATCCAGTAAATTGTCAAAGACCTAGTTATCAGTTTGCCAAGGCTCTGCCCAGTGGGGATTTTATTACATTCCAATAAATATTTGGATTTAGCACTCTTGACTGGGCACTCTGTGCTGCCCCAGTAACTGCTCTGCATATTTGCTGGACCTAAGCCACTGTCCATCCAAAAATCAATGTTTATTTGAAAGACCATTATTCTTTGATTTAATGTTGGACTTTATAGATGTCTAGGCCCTACTTTATGGTTTATAATTGTTTACATTATATTTTGCACTAATTAAAGACCTGTTTAAAGATAAAATTACCTACTAGATTTTCTGACATCTTATTAAATCTCAACACCAATCACAAATAAAGTTGTGTATTTTGTGATCTTTGGTGGCATCAAGGTTTAGACAGTTTTTTAACTACTAATACCACATTTGTGTGTGTGGTAGCCAGGACATTTCCAACATTTACATACCTTTTTTAAACCACGCCGAGATTCCTCAGATCCAAGCTCAGTCCGAACTCGGCACTGATCGGTTTTCAGAGGGTAGTGTAAATCGGGCTTATCCGGAGTAAACCCTGAGCTGTTGTTGAAAATGGCAGTCCCACAAGCATGGCTTTTTCGGTGGCTTTTTCTTTTTGAAGCAATTTTTTGGTCAACTTTTTTAATAGGTTTTTGCATTTCCCTTTTCCACTAATCTCAAAGATATTCATTCACAGAGTTCTGCTCTTAAACCTTCGGAGCCACCTGCTTTGATTCTGGCCATAACATTTTAGACACCCTGACTTTTTACTCAGGAACATTTACCCCCCTAGCCGTTCAGTTCATCCCAACCTAAGCTGATTACATGACATCTGCCGAGAAGGAATGTCTGTCTGCTCCTGTGTTCTCCATTAAGCCCCCCCTCAGTCAGCCACAGTGGTTTGGCAAGTAAAAGGATGCTGAGCTGCTTTTGGGATTGTGGGCTCAGTTCTGAGTCAAGGAATCTGAGTGGAAGTCTGTTTTGTGTCTGTTTCTGTCCACAATGTGAACTTACTTATTTACCCAAACATGTATGTCTCCCGTTTACAATTAATCAGATCATGCAGCAAATGAGTGACCATCGCTATGACAAGCTGACGGTACCTGATGATATTGCTGCCAACTGCATCTACATGAATCTGCCAAACAAGGGACACGTGCTCCTGCACTGCACAGCGGAGGAGTTTCCAGAGAGTGTTAAGGTACTATTCATTTTAAATCCCATACTTACTTTATCTTACTGCACAATTAGACTGTCAGTGACAATGCTGAAAGTAACACCTGTGGTAGGAAGGACAATCATTATGAAAGCCGAACTGGTTTGGCATTTTAGATTTAAAGAGGGTTATCTGTATTACACTGCAACCTCTCCAGACCTCTGAGAACAACAACTGGCAAGAAAGAAGAGCCTTACATGTGCAACGTGTTCATTTTCTCCCAGACCAAAGCTGGCTTTTTAAACAAAAGAAGCTACAATTTCAAATGAGCTGAATTGTTATAGGTTCTGACAAGTCTAACAACAAGAAATGTTTTTTAGGTAAGTTATTATCTTCCCCATTAAACTTTATCAATGTCATGTCAAAGTGGTTTTACAATGAAAATGCTTCAAAAATCAGCTTATACCAAAAAGAGTTCACATTGACTCTAAAGTTTACATTTTTGTTGAAAAATGCAGTTTTGTTTTCTTCGTTTTTCTTAGATGGATAACCATTAACCAGTCCATCTGTATGATTTGATTGAATTGTCTCTGTAAAGTGCATTGAAATGCTCTTTTATACACTGATACTATAAAAATGAATTTAATTGCAGGCTTGAGGGTTTATAGTAGTTTGCACCGGGCAGTCCGTGTGTGTTTTGTGGACATGGAGTAGGTATTTGAACCATGTTCCCTGTGGTGCTCTATGGGTGGCAGTCCAAAAGTATGGAGTCGGGCGGCCATCTTCTAGGAGCCATCCGATTGCTATACAGAGCGGAGCAGGAGTTAGTTTGCATTGGCAGGGTTAAGCTAAGAACTGTTGCCAGGGCATGTCGAACTCCAGCTGGGCCACCCTCTGTCATCGGTCCTGTTTCTAATCTATGGTTTGGGGTTGGGTTTTGGGACCAATAGATTTCTTCCTTGCTTTTTGTGGAACACATGTTTCTACTGGCTCCCTCCTGCTTAGGTCTGCAGCATGGGCTTAGGAGGCTCACCGCCAAGTGCCAAGCTGCTGGGATAAAGCTCATCAGCTCATCAAAGTCAAAATCCCAGGGTCACTCATGCTCTCCAGGTTAAGGGATAGGTACTGCTTCAAGTGGAGGAATTCAAGTATCTTGGGGTCCTGCTCATGAGTGAGGGGAGAATGGAGCAGGAGATCAATAAAATGAATCGTTCGGCTGCTGAGATAATGTGGACTGTGGTGGTTGGTTGTAGCGAAGAGAGAGCTGAGCCAAGAGGCAAATGTCTACATTTGCTATCAGCCTATGAGCTCGCCACTACCTATGGTCAGGAAATCTGGATCAGGACTAAAAGAACGAGATCCTGGTTACAGTTGGCTAAAATGTTCTTCACAGGGTGGCTGGTCACTTCCTTAGAGATAGATCAGGTGAGGAGCTCAGCCATCTGGGGGAGAGGCTTAAGGTAGGGCCATTGAAAGAAGTCAGCTGAGGTGGCTCAGACATTTGCATCAGATGACTCCTGGACATCTCCAACATGAGGTGTTCCAGACATGTTCCAGTTGGAGGAGGCCAAGATAGTTGCCAACGATACTCTGGAAGGACTATGTCTCTTGACTGGCCCTGGAATGCCTTGGGCTTCATCGCTACTCTGCTTAGACTACAGCCCCATGACCCAGCCCCTGATAAGCAATAGACTTCAACAAGTGCAAATTAAATTGAAATATAGCCAGGGAGCCTTAAAATCGTTTTTCAGTTGCTGTCAGACCAAGTTTCTAAATTAGAAATTCCTTTATACTCTATTCCAAGTTATTTAAACTATGTTTATTAATCTATCGTTTAAAATTTTAAACATATAGACTAAAACCTGAATTTAATTACTCTAAACCTAAAAAAAACTTAATCTAATTAGCTTGGAATATATAAAACCCATTCTATATTTGTAAAATACAAAAAGAAATATTTTCATATTGGCACTAATTCTGCTTACGTTGACACAAGTTTAAAGACTGCACAATTAAAGAGCAATCTTACATATAATTATTTTATATTTGAGAAATTCTAATAATCTTAGATTGGTCTGTCTTTTTGCAAAATTCTTATTAAATACATGTAATATTTTCATTTAACAAACAGGTCTAAAAAATATTTGTTTCACAGTGGCATATTGAGCAGATAGTATCTTAAAAGAAATACATTGAAAAAAAAGAGCTTTCATTGATGCACAGCATGTAAGATATGAATGTGAGTTATGCTTAAAACATGTTTGTTTTGAACACAGCTTTAGATTTAACAGACATACTGTATGGCCTCTGGCCCTTGAGACATTTATCCTTTGTGGCTGCTTGACATGAATTATAAACTTTTTCCTACATTTGTCTGTTGGGTCAGGGAAGACTTAGCAGTAGCTGCATTTTTTTTTATTCTTTGGGGTAATTCCAAGGCATAAGAAGTCATTATGGTTCTCACAAGATTAAACCTGGCAACATGCAGTCGGCAGAGACAGTGCTCAAACCTCAAAATGTACTCTGTGGTTAAAGTCTCAATCCCTGCCAGCTATTTTTAGAAGGAGGAATTCACAAAATGATGTGTCTTTGGACCTAAAACGGCAAAGAAGTCTTATTTTTTTCCAGGAAGAATGGCTGAGGGAATTTATCTTGAGCATGATAAAATATATTTGTTTATATTATACTTCTTGCTTTGGGAGTACCTTGAATAGTCTATTTGGATAGTTTATTTAAAAATGTACTGTGCCTTGCAAAAGTATTTATTTCTCTACATCGTTTCTATTTTTTATTTCATCTTTAAGCTTTTAGAAATTTCTGTGGGATTATTTTAAGTAAACCAACAGAGATTAACCTGTTATTGAGGATTAAGAGCAAACATAAACAGAAGCATAATGAAGACTAAGGAAAGAACCAGGTCAGGGGAGAAGATGTAGAGAAGCATAAAGCAAAGTTAGGAAATATAACAATATTCCAAACTTTTAGCATGTCATGGAGGACAGTTCTGTGCAAGAAGAGCATTTAAAAAAGAGAGAAAAAAAAGAGAAAAACAGTTAGGAAGCCTATTGAAACCCTTGAAGAGTTGCAAAGATTTTAAGCTAATGTGAGACAGTCGGTTGAAAGAACAATTGGTAATATGTGCAGATGCCACAAAGCTAATGCCACAAAGTGGGCTTTTCAGGAAAAGTGACAAGTAAAAAGGCCATCATCAAGTAAGCCAAAAAATTCACAATCTGTGTAGAAAAAAAGATGTATGAATAATAGCGTATATAATTTTTTTTGGATGTGTCTAAAACTGCAAATCACATTGAATACACCGTTTCCAACATAGAACAAAAATATTGGCAGCATGATGCCATACAGCTTTTCTTCAAAAAGGATGCTGAAGCTTGTAGCATTGATGGGAAGATTAATAAAGCTCAATACAGTCAAACCCAAGGGGAAAAAATTGTTAAGCCTGCAAAACACTTTAGACAAGCAGGATGAAGACTTTAAAATTAGATTAGATTAGATTCAACTTTATTGTCATTACACAGGTACAGGTACAAGGCAACAAAATGCAGTTTAGGTCTAACCAGAAGTGCAATAGTAGCAAGTGCAGGATAAATAATGGTTTCATAAATACAGGACATGGGTTTCTACTGAATAAGTATAGAGATGAATACTATTATAAACAGAATATTTCTAACAGATGAATATAATATATAGAAAACTAGTGTTATAACCTAAATTTACAGCTGGATATGTACCGAATATAATATACAGGTGGATATTAGGGTTTTTACAGTTATGTACAATAGCAGCATATATACAGATGGGTTTTACTATAAAATGAATAATAAAGTTTGGACAGAAGCTATCTAAATTAAAGTGCAGTGGAAGGTAATTGCATATTACAGGTAAAGTACTTTATTGCAGATGTAAATGTAAACAATTGGTGCTTCGAATAAACAGTTGGCAGTGCAAATATAAGCAGTTGGCAGTGCAAATCAATATTCAGTCAAGGTGAGTAGTGCAAGATGCATGTAAACAGTTGTTACAATAGTAACAGGAGTGCAGGTGAACATTTCAGTAAAATTTTTTGTAAAAAAACACAATTGCAAAATTGTGGTACTGTAGGTGTGAGGAAGGAGAGTAGAGTCTATCTGTGAGGGTTAGAGTTCAGTAAAGAGAGAGCTCTGGGGAAAAAGCTATTCTTTAGCTGCCGGAGGGTAGAAGAGAAAACAGTCTGTGGATTGGATGGGATGAGTCCCTAAGAATGCTACGGGCTCGATGTAGGTGCCTTGCACTCTGCAAAAGAATAGCTTCCGTACCACACTGTTACACAGTTGGTTAGGATGCTTTCTATCTCAAAGCGAGAGAAGTTCACCAGTATAGTTGAGAGGAGCTGATTCTTCCTCCGTGTTCTTAGGAAGAAGAGGCGCTTCTGAGCCTTCTTGACCAGGCAGGAGGTGTTGGTTGACCAACACAGTCTGCATGACTCCAAATAACTGCATGACCAAAGTTGCAATGACATGGTTTAGTTCTTTACATGTTTACATGTTGCAATGGCTAAGGCAAAATCATAACTAGTGGAAATATATGGAAATCTAGAACTAGTGGAAATCTACGTATATAAGAAACGATTCTAAAACCAAATTTTTTCCCTAAATATGCATATACTCACTGTAAGATTTTGTAACTTGGAAAAACAAACTGATAACCCAAGACAGAATAAAACAGCAGGGACTGCCTAATCAGTGCTGACTGTAATGTCTTGCACAGTGGGTCTGGATTTGGTACATATTTCCGAAGGGGAATTTTTGCTTGCACTTCCTGTGAGATTAGATTTTTCTGCATAATCACTGAGCCGCTTTGCAAGACATCTGCCTCCAAACACTCTGTCTTGACCTCCGCTCTATTTTTAGCTGATTGTGAAGTTACATAAGAGTTCCACAAAAACGAAGCCAGGGGTCATGGGAGAGGATTGGTGGTGTCTGACAATTTGGAGATAGGGCATAATAAAGGTTTACCAATGTCTTGAAAGTACATAGGAGATTAATTAT